TCGCTGCCCACCGACAGTTCTGTGACCAGAAACCGTTGACATTCATGACCAATGGACGATCCGGTCGGAATTGTATCATATAAACATATTTTACAATAATGAATTGTCAACATCATGGGGCAATTTTAGGATTTAGAAATTATGTTGAAATAAACAATCGGAATTTTGTACAAAAGCGGTGCTTTAGCGCCATATTGGTACCAAGGTATTGTGGTGAAATAAGTTGAAGAGCTTCTTTCAGAAGTGGTTTGGTGTCATCTTTGTGACAAGGAACCATGCTGAAGTGCGTTGAGGTGCCTTATAACTACAAAAGTAGTGCTTTGGCACCATCTTGTGACCTGTATCAAAATGAGCTGTGAAGCTTCAACTGTATAAAAGTCGTGCTTTTGTGCCATCCTGGTACCAAGTAACTATGCTGAAGTGAATTGAGGAGTTTCTCATTCAGGCAAAAGTAGTGCTCAGGACATCTTTGTGTCACGGGGGTGAGTTGAGGATTTTAATTTAGGCAGCGATTTGCCATCTTGTGTCATCTACCGCCAATTCTAAACCTTTTTACTTGCAGACGTCCACTAATCCCAGTACTTAGTTCCAATCAAGAGAGGGGATTATTTTACATAACCGTTGACATTCATGACCAATGGACGATCCGGTCAGAATGTGTATCATATAAACATATTTTACAATAATGCATTGTCAACATCATGGGGCAATTTTAGGATTAAGAAATTATGTTGAAATAAATAATGGGAATTTTGTACAAAAGCGGTGCTTTAGCGACATATTGGTACCAAGGTATTATGGTGAAATAAGTTGAAGAGCTTCTTTCAGAAGTGGTTTGGTGTCATCTTTGTGACAAGGAACCATGCTGAAGTGCGTTGAGGTGCCTTATAACTACAAAAGTAGTGCTTTGGCACCATCTTGTGACCTGTATCAAAATGAGCTGTGAAGCTTCAACTGTATAAAAGTCGTGCTTTTGTGCCATCCTGGTACCAAGTAACTATGCTGAAGTGAATTGAGGAGTTTCTCATTCAGGCAAAAGTAGTGCTCAGGACATCTTTGTGTCACGGGGGTGAGTTGAGGATTTTAATTTAGGCAGCGATTTGCCATCTTGTGTCATCTACCGCCAATTCTAAACCTTTTTACTTGCGGACGTCCACTAATGCCAGTACTCAGTTCCAATCAAGAGAGGGGATTATTTTACATATAGTGTAATCAAATACAGCACCATCACTAGACAGGTCGCCAAGGCCGACGTCCTCTTGTTCCATGAAGGCCTGGGAGCCAATCAGAAAAGGAAGCGGTCTGTCCAAATAAAGGTCCTTCGGACACAAAAACATCACAATGAACATTCTTTTTTTGTTTTTTTAATTTTTTTAAATAAATCTGTTAACACATACTGCATATCAGTTATAATACAAAACACAGATGACATTACCTTAGGCTCGAGGATCGCGTCCAATCTGTCATTGGTCTCCTCGTCCTCAGAGTCGGAGTTTCCGGCTTTGATATCCAGGTGTTCGAAGGCAGACTCCAGCACCTTCAGGCCGTAAGTCACTGCTTCCTGCATCTTGGGGATCAGCTCAGCTTCTTTCTGCTCGCGGGTTTTCTGCTGACAAACGGTGAGCATCATCCAGAGAAATACAAAGACAGTTAGTCAGTCAGGCCCACAGATTTCCCACAAGTGGCTTCATTTCCATGATGGCAGACAGACTCTAGCTCCCTCTCGTGGCATGTAAAAGAATCACAACACAATTACAGCAGAGTTCAACTTTGAAGTTCCATCCAATATTTTTGTATTTAATCTGTAAAAACAGTTTGCTTTTAATTTGAAGTTTTGGGGCAGTCTTAACATAAAATCATGTTTTGTTTTGTTTGTTTTTTTTTGGGGGGGGGGGTTGTTTTCCTTTAAGCCTTCAAGGGACACCTTGATGATACCTGATCAACCTGCTTCTCCACAGCATCAGTCTTGGGCACGGGTTCCTGAATCTCTTCATCATACACTCTCTGCAACAGGAATAAACAAAAGTTGATGCAACACCTCTCAAGAAACACTGACTGGAGACGACAGAGAGGAAGTTTATACTTTACATTCTCGATAAACTGGGTATTGGAGAGCATGAGGAAGTCGTTGAAGACAGAATGCAGGCTGCTATCCGTGGTCTTGGTGTCTCGGATCAAGCTGTCCAGCTGCTTCTCTATCTCGTGCGTCTTGGACAGCATTTTCTGAGAGAAGTCTTGAAGGAACAAGAAGAGCTGAGTGGTGGGAGGAACAAAAAAAAAAGGGAGTTTGAGTTATCAGTACAGCTAATTATCAAGAAGCGTTTACATTTTTTTAAATTTTTATTTGACGAAGAAGAGCTGAGTGGTGGGAGGAACAAAAAAAAAAAAAAAAGGAGTTTGAGTTATCAGTACAGCTGATTATCAGGGAGCATTTACATTTAATTTTTTTTTTTTTTTTTTTTTTATGTTACCCCTGAGTCGGCTGCAAGTGACCAGTTTGCACTGCTCTGCCGCATCTCCTCGAGGGTCCACGGCCTTTCCCAAACCTGAGCATTGGTTCCAACGTGCTCGCTCCCGTCCGGGCCATTCGACATCCCATCTGGCATCCCGTTCATCTGCAAGACACGGAAGCATTTTGCCATTCAGCACTTTACATCATTGCGAGATTACAACACGTTATCTCCCGAGAAAAAAAAGATATTTATTTTGAAAAATTAAAAGAACAACGTTTCATATTTTGAGATTCTGTCTTTAATTTTGAAAATGTACTATGAAGACAAGAACGAATACGTATGTGTATTCCGTGCGTTCTTGGGTTTACACGTTTTCAATTGGAACAGCACTTGGGCCATGACTGATAAAGTTTTATGAGATTGGCTAAAAGTCAGTATTGTGCATTAAAGATATCTTTTTTAAAAAAGCTTTGTTTTCTGCATGTTTTTGACCAAAATAGGTAATTTTGGTGAAAGCCAACTCATTTTCTCCTGTTTCTACGGATGGCAATGAATTTACCATGTAAAATTTAATTTTGATAAAACTCACCTATAAAAAAATAACTACAACCTGAATCTCGCAATGTATTTTTTTTTGTTTTTTGAAATTGTTTTCGCCAAGGGCAAATGCATCAAATTTCCAGATTCAAAGTGGATCCAGGAAAAATTAAAAGAACAACGTTTCATATTTTGAGATTCTGTCTTTAATTTTGAAAATATACTATGAAGACAAGAACAAATACGTATGTGTATTCCGGGCGTTCTTGGTTTACACGTTTTCAATTGGAACAGCACTTGGGCCATGACTGATAAAGTTTTATGAGATTGGCTAAAAGTCACTATTGTGCATTAAAGATATCTTTTTTAAAAAAGCTTTGTTTTCTGCATGTTTTTGACCAAAATAGGTAATTTTGGTGAAAGCCAACTCATTTTCTCCTGTTTCTACGGATGGCAATGAATTTACCATGTAAAATTTAATTTTGATAAAACTCACCTATAAAAAAATAACTACAACCTGAATCTCGCAATGTAATTTTTTTTTGTTTTTTGAAATTGTTTTCGCCAAGGGCAAATGCATCAAATTTCCAGATTCAAAGTGGATCCAGGCTGGAACTGTTGCCCTCCGGTCAAAGGTTTTAAAACGCCTCCCAGCTAAACAAACCCACTTCTTGTCAGAAATTAAAGGCTTCTTTTTGGGCTTCAGACTAACGTAAACATGACACAGCCCGACTAGCTAAAACATTTGAACGATAGCTTCATTATTAGTGTCACCTGTAGCTATTCGACTGCTTTGAGACCGTTAAACGACGGCAAAAGGGGAGACGTGTTGCAATTAAAAACATCCGTATTGCAAAAAGCGTTGTTACCTTCTGCTACTTTGGGGGTAAAAAGTTGAAAAATGTTTTAACTGACAGGCGAGGAAGTTGGGGGCTGTTTAGTTAGCAGCTAGCTCAATTTAGCTAGCGAACGTAGACGTTAGCGCTCGCAAACACAGACGTGTGAAATCCAATTTCACCCTGAAACGGAAAACGTGCGTACCTTGAACGCGTCTGACCCGAAGAACCGCTTTGGACTGCCACGAGAAAAGACGCCAAACAAATGATCGATTATGCTCAATTTGGCCTTTCCCTCATTGGTCTTCTGACAGGTCAGCCATGTTCTGTCTGCAGACAGTCACCTGACTGCGGTTGCTCGGCAACCGCGGGTAAGTGGGACGAAGTGGAACGAACACATTTCTTGCTTGTTAGTTAAGACTGTCAAGTTTTTTTTCATGATTATCCGCTACTGACGTGCATAGTGTATACACTATAATACTTAGTTCATGTTATTATTTTTTAAACCACTTCCTTGTGATTTTTGCCCTCCCATCAATAAGGGCTGTTTTGCCAGCGCAATCGTTAGCACGCATGCGTGATTTTTCCATGGCATAACAGAAATGTGACGTATTTGACCAGGACAATAATAACTTGAATATACAGTATTACTTTACTACTGGAAGCAGCAGTAGCTTTGTTAATATAATATTTTAATTGTTGCCCTTTCGGTATATGAGGGGATGTAGCTCAGTGGTAGAGCGCATGCTTTGCATGTATGAGGCCCCGGGTTCGATCCCCGGCATCTCCACTAGTTTTTGGTAGTCAAGCGTTTGAAATGACATTATTTTACAGGTCGAAAACAACAAATGCAAGAAATTTTGTTACACACATACAAAAAAAGTCTCCACTGCAGTTTCCTACCTTCAATCTTTCTATATCACCATATGGGAATAGGCTCGCTTTTTTTTTTCTTTCTTTTAACTTTGCACAACTGTCATCACCTTAACACTTTGGGAAAAACACAATGAAAAACATATTTTTCAGACCAAGATTTTTCTGGATATTTTTTTTTATTTATCTGTTTGTGAGATTTTTGTTTGGTGGTGCGTGTTCAAATATTTTTTTCCTCATTTAAAGTGCTTTACAGCACATGCTTCGAGGTTGCAAATATTAAGAGTGTAAACACTTTAATCTGTTTCTACTGATAAGATTTGCAGGACTGCAATGACTTTTTTGTAAACAGTTTATTTTCTGTGTCTGACAACAAATATAAATTTCTTAAATAACATTAGGATCAATAAAACAACTCCAACCCCCAGAGTTTACATTAACGTAGCAATCTTGCAGAAAAGAACCAACGTCTCTTTCACTGAATACAATTCTGTACAGTATTTCAAAAAGTAGGAAACGCTAAATCAAAAATAAATTACTAATATTCTGGGGATTATTTACTTGGGGCATTTTTTTGGGCTGCTCATAGTTTTCGAGTGACATGTCGAAAATCCACATGGAACTAACAAGCGGTGATCACGACTGACTTAAAAGAATTCGACCTTCGGGGAAATGAATCGTAATGTGTTTCTATTTCTTTCAGGTGCAAACATTTTTTCAAAATAAAAAGGTCCCATAATGTACAAAAATGTTGTAGAAAAGAAAAAAAAAATAAGACTCGTCAAACAGACTGTACAATACACACATGAATAATTCAACGGCCAAGATTCCTGAATTAACCAAACAGAATATGACCACCTGAGGAAAAAAAAAAAACTGTTTTCCCACGAAAACTGCCCAAAACATTCGGTACACCAGTAGTGCATTGTAACGAGACCCAGTGTGTCAACACTGCAATCCACAAGAACAAAAATTAAAGACCTCAAAGTATTAATAATACACTCAACAATACTGGATGCCGCGAGGCTGTTCAAGTGTACCTAATATTATGGGCAGCGAATGTGCAGTTTGGACATAAATCGTTCATGTCCGGATTCAGGCTAAGCAGTGCAAATCGAGTCATAGCGTTGAGGGAAATGACCCATTACGAAATGTTACAATGCCGCAAAGACCACCTGTTGTGTTTTTTCACGTCTGCGTGCGTGTTAACCCGATGGCAACTATTTGCTCGTGCGTCTGTGGCGTGGTTCGAGCTCCCGACTGGTTGCTGTTGTTATTGTGCTCGGCGCCTTCCTCCTCGGGGGAGGAGAAATTGTCGCTCAATTTGTTCGCCGCCCCCTTGTTCACTTTCTCTTCGACTTTCTCTTCTTCTGCCTTCTCGCCGCCCGTGCGCTGCTCGCGGGAACCTTCGCTCTCCTTCTGGCGGCGCGTCAAGCTTCCCACGGATGAGGGCTTCCAGTAGTCGCAAAGCTTCGACTGTGTGAGAGACAATGAGGATTGTCTTAGTGAAATTAAAAAAATTAAACGTACATATTTAAAGAAAAAGGTGTAGTCCCCCTTCAAAAAATGATTTTATGACGGTGACATATTGGCTTGTGGCAAATGACAAAAATATAAGGATTGCGTTCAGTTTAAATGTCATGCAAGTGCATGTGACAGGTTTACATGGAGAGGCTGGATGCGCTGGAGGATCATCTGCCACTTGGTGTAGATCCTTGCAAGCAGATCCTTCACCTGCAGGACAGAGGTACAGACACACCGGCGCCACAATCTTAAGTGTTCACGTGTGATAACGTGTCAGTGACAAACCCATGAAAACAAATTAAATTAGGACGCACAAGCATCGCACATGACGGTCACAACGCTCACCTTACTCCTGTACAGACACTTTTCGCTCTCTCTGATGTGACAAATGACGTGCGCTCTCAGATCCGAGCAGAGAGTCAGCAGGTGCTCCTGAGGGGGTGACGAAAGCAAATGGGGGCGTGTCGGTGCGACTGCCACATTGTAACTCAAACGTGCAACTCCTCGTACCTTCTGATGGGTCGGGAAGAAGTGGAAATTGGAGGCTTCGTTTGTCAAGGTCAGAAGGCTGTAGCAGAGGTAGTAGGACTGGAACACAAACATTTTAAAGGGGGCATGTGAAGGAATCTGGCTTTTATAAATGCATACAATAATTATATGGGGGGTTACTGGAGCCTATCCCAGCCGTCTTTGGGCAGTAGGCAGGGGACACCCTGAACCGGTTGCCAGCCAATCGCAGGGCACACAGAGACGTACAACCATTCACGCTCACAATCACACCTAGGGACAATTTAGAGTGTTCAATCAGACCTGCCGTGCATGTTTTTGGAATGTGGGAGGAAACCGGAGTACCCGGAGAAAACCCACGCAGGTCAGGGGAGAACATGCAAACTCCACACAGGAAGGCCGGAGCAGGGATCGAACCCACGACCTCTGCACTGTGAGGTTAATGCGCTAAATGGACCACCACATTTATTAAGAGTTTTATACAGTTAAAAAAAAAAAAAAAAAAAAAAAAAAGCAGCACACCTCCTTAGAATAAGACTAACGAAGTTTTATACCATGATAATACCCGCCTGCACTCTCACCTGCTGATCCAGGAGCATCGCATCCTCCTCTGTAGAACTCACGCCGGAGGTGGTCATGAAACGGCGCAGGGAGGAGGGTTGCATAGCGGGTACGTACGGCTTGAGCGCGGCGAGCTACGCGTAGGACAGAAGGATGGTTGACTGACGACATTAATCACACACACAAAGTTCCATTGAAATTAAAGGTGACAAACAACAACCTTAATTTCCCTTCCGGTTGGTCGGTATCGACTCGTTCCGTCTAAGAGTTTGGAGATCATCGACAGACTGAGATGCTGCCGCAGGCATCTATGAAGGGGAACAAAAAAAAGTTAATGGACGGCATAATTTCAGAATCAAGCCTCTATGAAAAAAAAAATTCTTACTTCCCGCGAGTGTTGTCAGGCAGCAGTTGAACCAGAAGGCACATGTTGTGGTGGTCATCCGTCAGGTCGGTGAGGGTCTGGCACATTCTAGGGAGCTAAAGGTCATAAACAAAAAAATGAAGCACATGCACAAATGATAACGTGCCTTCTGTGTTGACAAACCTGACAGAGTTTGTTTTAACGTCAAATCTCGCTGGCAGTCTCAAAAACGATGACTACCGAAAGCACTTTGTCTTATTACTACCGTAATGCAGAATAGTTTCACAACCAACCAGACACACTCAAGACTCCTGCAAAAAAAAAAAAACAAAACAAAAAAAAAAAAAACAAAAAAACAAAAGCAGGCTTGCAAAGTTCTAATTCAGTGGGAGCTATACAGTGGTGCTTGACAAGACAAGACATTTCATTCTTAGAGGATGGAAATGACATTTATCCATTCCAACCTTCTACCCCCCAAAAAAAAAAACAACAAAAATTGAACGAGGCTACGTCTGTCTTAAACTTGCCCCCAAGTGGGCACACTTGGGGACAAGTTTAAGACAGACAAACGGATAAACTGTTTAATAGGTGTTATCGTGCCTGTTAACGTAAGCGGCATTCATAGTAAGACTCCAACTCCTCCCTTCAGCTCATCAGTACGGGACTAATATTCTCATTCTATGCAGAAGATAAAGTACATATGACGGTGTACTGCCATACTGTAAGGGTACATGTTGTTGATGCACTTTGTGCGCAATCCGTTACTTCCGACGGTTAAAGCACCACACCAGAGACGCTAATTAGCATTAGCATTAAGATAGCAGACTGAAAAACTAAGGTACGCTTTTTTTTTCTTTTTTGGAAGACACAAGGTGTGCTTCACGGGCCATTGAAAAACAGACACAAATGGCACCGGGCGATAGTTTCGGTACCACCGGGTTTAGACAAAGCTTGTCAAATGACAACACGTGCACAACTGACCATTGTGTCCCAGTCCCTGGTGTTGCTCACTATTTTAGTGAGCAGCGTGTTAATCTCCACACCGGCCAGTGGGATGAAGTGAGCATCCAGAGCCACTCCA